TGCTACTGCCAAACGAAGGCAAATACTGTAGGCTAATTCTCTCCTGAACAGAGATACTACAAAAACCATTCATATATCGACTTGTTTTCCATGGTAATTTAATCAATGAAATTATTTGCTGACATTTTGTATTGCTGCGTCAAGTTTAAACTGAAAATGTTAATTTTTGTGTGTTAACGTCATATTATTTTACTAATTCGGTATACATTAGGTTTAATGTTAAAAAACTCAATTTTTAAATACATAAATGATTATTTATACACATGAAAATGGGATATTTAATGTGATAATCCAGATAATCCAAATAGCAAGGTCAGTTTAATGAACATTAAATGAAAAGTGGCACTAAAGCCACACATTCTTGCGTTTCATGTCAACTACAAGTCATCTGTATAGGTTATCAAGAAAATATAACAAACAAAATCAGGCTAAACCAACCATTGAGAAAGGCAGTTATGCAGACCTGAAAAGCCTACACTCTTTGTCCTACCAGGCAACTACCTCTGTCTCATCTAAGCATGTGTTACTTAAATGTCTGGATCTGAATGGGTTCAAACCACAACTAGACAATGAAATGTTGAAAACATATTGAATGAGCTGGTGTTAACAGCTAGATATGAAATAATAAACAGCTAAATACATGCATAATAGTAATATCCATACAGTTGTGGGTTGATGTGTGCTGAAAGTGATTCAGAAATGAAAGCCATTGAAGATTAGGCCACTGAGAAGATGAGAGTAATCAAATGAAAGGTTTTTTTTAAATCAACATTTTGAGGTTAAAAGCCTGAATTTGAATTGTCCATGTTTAAATGCAGTCAAATGTCTACCTGATATAAAACCATGATCACCAAACTACACAATAACCCAGTCAACTAAATTTGTAACAGGTGAGGAAATTTGAAAAGGTCACTGGGTACAGACAAAGTGTGCAAGTATTGATTCTGAGACTTGGCAGCACCAAGACAGGAAAAGCACTGGATGACATAAATGTTATAAATAGTAACAGGGATTGCCCTTGGTGAGTCAGAACAAGTTATTACTGCACAAAACAGTTAACTATTCTAGCAGGTGTTCAAGATATTTATGCTGCGCCGCCTATCCTCTTTTATTTCTATTAGCACAGTCAATGCCATGTAAATTTGTTAACATGACCAAACAGCAATAAAAATTAGCAATTTTTCAGATTCTCGAGCCTTTAAACTTAAATACTGTCTGTGCCCTGGTATTTTATGAGTTGATATGTACAAGATTGTGTTCTCTATTCTATAGACAGAACCAAAATGGCGTAGATGATACAATTAGAAATAATGCTACGAAAGTGCAGTTTCACATAAGATGACTGAACAAAGTATATCTGATCTGAAACACTTGGTTTTCCAGGAAGCTACCACTGTGAGAATTGAAATGTTAGGGTCTAAATTATGTATGTGCACAGACAAGTTGGAAACCAGATACCAGAAAACATGACTGGCTGTGACAGATATTTGTCCCCACAATGATAGTGTGGCTTTCCTGGCCTGACATAGCAACAAAGCAATTTTAAAATGTTTGCCCTGAAGATTAGAACTGCGACTAAAATTGACAATCTGATGCATAGAAATGAAACAGATTCTGACATTTTATTCAGGAACATTTCAAAGAATATTCATCGCAGAATTGGAGACAGAAAAAAGGTTGGCTGACTAAAGAAAAGCAAATATTTCACTGGCAAAAAGGCGCAAACCGTAGCACATGTGTACAGTTTGGCTTGGTTCAACATTATAACTCATACTATTTCATACGAAAATAAATAAAATGAGGGTGTCCAACTTCAATATTTAATATTTTCTTTTGGCATGGATGATGCTTTAGTAATTCTGGCCATAGTCTGCTGAGTGAATAATAATTATGGTCTGTTTTCTTTGTGGAAGAATTCACACATTTTTAAAAAGCATTCTGCGCTCGAAATAAGCAAACAAAAACTAATTATTTTTTTTAAAGCAAGCTACTGAGATATATAATCTGAATGCATATAAAAACATGTACCTGCTATGTTTGTTTTCTTGCATAAACTGTCTTCCACTGGTGGCAATACTCATAAATACCAACTTACTGTTTTGTTTATTGTTTAATGTCAGCAAAATAAACAAATAATTTATATATAATACAGTGTGATATATATATAGGCTTCACAAATGATGTGCTTTTCCTCATGTAGATTGTTTTAAATAATAATAAATTAGAAAATCAGAATTGACCATAAGAAACATGCACACACACATACAAAAACACAAAGTTCATACTAGATAACAATGCCAAGAACAGCAAACAATGCAATTTAAACGTTTCTGGACATCCTATCACGGATGTGCACAGCAAATAAAAGAAGTAATTTCAGTGCAGACAGCATAGCCTTCAGTGATAGATGAGTCTCTTTAGATATACTAGATGACAGCAATGCTCATCAAAGATGACAGTAATGCTGCAAGTCAAAGATGAAATATATGCAGCCTCTATTAGCCTGGTGATGAATGAATTAGTGCCCATATCAAGCTTCGTAGATCCTAGTTTAGTGAAGCTAGCTAGTCTGGAAACCATTTTGAGTCAGCTTAATCACTGTCTTCAGGGCACGGCTGAAAGTCTCTCCTTTTCTAGCCCTGTTTTCAATGTCTTGCAGCCATCTTTGTGAAGGTCTGCTTCTGCAAACCTTTTTTTGGAAACTCGTCCACCATTGCTCTCTCCAGGCCACCATGGCATATAACATGGCCAAAAAAATACCTCCGTTTTTCGGGACATGATGCTACTATAAGACATCAAACCACATCCAAATATCAAACAGAAAGGCACCATGTGTGACCAGACATCATTTATGAGCACAATTCAATCTTTGCACAACGTAAATTTAGTCACAGTGCCATGAAGACCTAAACAATATATTTCTTTCATCTGCTGAGTAGGTTGTCCTTGCAGATATAGTTAGTTCGCCTTTGTTATCACTGTCTCACTTGGGCATCATCTATGACGGAGCTATTCAACTAGCAGCCTGCGGGATAATTCTGGCTCAGAGGTGTAGCAGCTAGCCCGCAGAGAAACTGCCAACTGTATTTTTTTAAGATGGGGCTCTTGCCTCCGCAACAACCCAATTTTTTTAAACACTTTAGCCCCAGAGTAAACAGTTTTAAACGACTCTCCATCATCTCAGACCAAGATAATCGATGTATGTATTATCTGAGAAAGGTGAGAAGTGTATATTTAAAACAAAAATAATTAGACTGAAGGCAAATTTCTAAAAGGCACAACGGAGGAAAAGAAATTTAAAAAAAGGTCAGCCATGAATGACCACTCATGCAAAGGGTGAATATAATACTTGCTAACATGACAGCAATGGAATTCAGTACAATGTGTTCCCAAAGTCACTGTCAGTAACTCCACTCCCTGTTACTGGTGTCTGAAAAGGATGCTCATTATTATGTAATTGGTCCGCATACATTATCAAATAACCAACACTGACCCAGACAATGAAAGCACCGAGGGTTTATCTAATATATAATAAATAAAATACATCGCTGCAAAATTTCATCCATGATACATACGCACAAAATATTTAAGATAGTTCACCCAGAACTCAAACCAAAAAGTAATTTGCGAAAAAAAAAAAAAAAAAAACTGAAATCTTAAAACCAACTGTCTGCCGAATACAGTAATGAATTGTTTTGACCTAGCTGTTGTATTCCACTTTAAATGCTGAAGCAGAACTTGTGATACATGGATCAAAGGTCAATGCATTTAAGGCGCATCCCATTATGGTTTTTATTTTATTATTTGGGCATGCTACAAGAATGTAAGCTTAAAGACACTATCCATCTGTGCAACTTACACCAATGTAATCCTGCCGTCTACATGATCTAAGGCAAAATAAATATCCTACAACCCTTCCCCCACTAATAACTTTTAAGCATGACAATCACCCGCCAAGGAGTCTCCCAGAAAGATGGATTATGATATAATATTTACTATCTACAAATCATTCATTAAACATCTTTACCTGCCAAGGAGTCTCCCAGAAAGATGGATTAAGATATAATATTTACTACCTACAAATCATTCATTAAACATCTTTAAGGACGGAATGCCAGAATTTGGGGCAGATAGTTTCAGAAGACAATTTAGAGAGCCAGCTTTTAGTGACTGGTAACTTAACTTCGGCTCTTTCATTGATACACTAGTCACTTTAAAAAAAAAACAAATCTCAAAAAGTGAAAACCTCTTTTACCTAAATGTGGTGCTAAAAGTCTATATACAGGATTGAGATATAAGGAGAATTTACTTGTTTTGGAAACAAACTCAGGAACACAAGGTAAGTTAGGTTTTTGAAAACAATAGGAAAATAAATAGTAACCTACACTGTAGCAAATGTAAGTATGTTACAAAGATTAAATACAGACAAAATGAACACCAAGTGGAGTTGCTACATAAATGCCATTAATGAAAACAAACATAATCTGTGCGCAGAAATCCATATGCACCCAAGTTTTCACACCAAAATCTAGAAAACAATATAGTGCAATATCACTACAACGTAGATGATTTATTGCAATTTGTATGTATATTAATTTTAAATCTATCAAATATACTTCTTGCAAGAAAATGTACAAATTTCATTCCATCACATCAGCAGAGGAGGCAAACATACCACAACACGTACATTCATCTTTCTCCCAATCTTCGAAACATACTTTGTTGCTGCCAAGGATGACATGCGTAATGAACTGTATATATACACACAGAAAAGTTGCATCCAGGAGACACTCGAAGCCGCCAATGTTCAGAACATATACATCATCTGTAGCATAAATGTGCCCATACCTGGACAACAGAGGCTAATTTCTTTGACAATTGTTTTTAAAATTATCACCAGACTTTTGCACACTTCTTGCTTCAAACTCCTCAAACCTCACATCAACACGGACCAACTGAAGCTGCTCAACAATGGGGCTAAAAGTGACAGGATCCCTGCATCAATAATCCCTATAGGAGGACTGCCAGAAGGCTGGCTTGCGAGTATCCACAAAAGGGAAGTTATCTAACCTCATGGACTGTGCTGCGCAAGAAGATGTAGAAGTGTTGTCCAAAACCTCTTCAGAATTAAACATAGTAACTTCACTGAAGATGTCCCTTTCTTCTGACCCAATAGGTTTTGGCTTCTGGTTGTTATTTAAAATGCTGCTATAATCACTGTTGCTGCTGCTTAATTTCAAGCTGGAGAAATGTTTCTCCAAGCTCTGTAGATCAATATTGTTGCTGCCGTAATTCATGTTTCCTGTCAGTCCATTCACATGACTGTTTGTTGTTGACATCAAGTGGGTGACCTCAGGCTGATAGGAAAAAATGTCACTGCCAGAAGGGCTCAAAGATGGACTACTGCTGCCACTGGAGGAGGTGAGGCTGCCTGCTCGACCAAGCCTGGGAGATGTTGGCTTTACCTCGTCCTCGTGAATGAAGTGACATCTTGGGCCGTATGGACAAAACCCAACTGTGTGAAAAGTGCGACACAGCTCCGTCTTGTACTTGGGGTGGCGGACTAAATTTCGGAGTTCGTGATAACCATGTGCAAACTGACACTTGTCACCATATTTGCAGGACCCACTCTCTTCAAACGGGCGACACAGTTCAGTCTTGTACCTGCTGGCATTCACCAACTTCTGCGATCCATTTCTGTCACCATCTGTGGTGTCGCTCCAACTACGATCTAGCTTCCGGTGCTGGGCACCTGCTGAACTTTCTCGAATGGAGGGGACGGCTGAAGAGTTGTTTGAATATAGGGATATCTCCAGAGGAAAAGGGAGTTTCTCGGAATACTGATTGTCTAACTGGGTCAAGCTGCTGTTGCTGCTCCCGCTGCCGCTGGTTGTGCTCCCACTACTGCCACCAGACAAATTCCGCAATCGTAAACAGTGGTTCTGGTAGCTGAAAGGCATCATGCTGCTGATCGTACTTCGTCTTTCAGGGAGTGGGCCGATATTTTTCAACATATTTGGGTGCCTGGTTTTCTGTGAGGGAAAAAAAAAAGATCGTGCTTATTACTTCTGAGGATACAGACAGACATGAAAGTCTAAAAATGGTTTGTAACGCTGAAAAAAAAAAAAGATTGCCTAAACTTCCAAGGATAGAGACAATGTCTAAACCATGTTAGCGAGGCTAAAATAAGTTTATATAATTATTTTTTTTTAAGGGGGAAGAAGGGACGACGACCGTATTTGAGACAGCCTCCTCAGTGGTTGCTGGAATTATTTTATTGTGGTGACGGCTTTGGATATCCCGACTTCCAGTTTGCATCGCGGTCCCACGAGTCCCACCCAACGTGTCAAGTTACCACGCGTTTGTGGCCAAACAAAAATACTTGCGTTAACCCCAAAATTGCACTAACAAATTAATTATCTGTTGGCATTCTGGGGGCTAAATATATTCTGAGCCGTAAAATTAGTCCCCCGTTAATGAAATGTGAGATAATTCGCACACTGACACTAATAAGTGGGTGAAGGGGCGGGGGTTAGGGGCGTACAACAGAAGAACACGTGTATATCTCAGAAGGTATAAAGTTCTTTGACAACTTACAGGTCACAAAATAAGCAGCAACAGTGAGAGGCCACCCTGATTTCAAATTTGATGATTTTTTCAACCTGAAAATCACGCCAGCGCACAACATGCGACTACAGATGTACCTTTGACTAAATGCCTTCTAAACTGACATAAAACATAGGCGCTAAAACTGTTTACAACACTATGCAGAAATATTAAAGGCAGCACAGAAAATATCGCCTGAACAGTTTAGCTATTTGACCGTGATTTGTGTGAGAGGTCACCCTAATAGGTTTTTTTTTTTTTAAACTTGTCGGTTCTATGGTCTCATTTTGAAAAATTAAAAGAAAGAAAAAAAAAGGGGGGGGGGAGACAAGACACTGGCTTCTAGAAAATGTCTATAAAAAAGCCCGAGTCGGCTTAGTGCTTATTTAAGGCAAGCTAAGAACAGATGCACTGCCCCAGAACAAGTGTGGTGAAAAGGTGCATGGTTAGGTTAACAGTAACATCTGCTGTGGTTATCGCGGCCTAGCTGTAAACCGCAACCGAACAATACTAACCTGAAAACCCCACTAGCGCTGGTATGATACATACAGCAACAGTGACAAGAGGCACGGAATTCAACAAAATACCGATTGATACACACACCTTGATACAGTTTGCATTACAAATTCTGAGCCTAAAAAATAAACATTTATATTTACTAAACTAGCAAGCTATGCTCCTCACCTATAAATAGGTATAAAAATGACACCTCTGTTTTGTTGATTAAACGCTTCAGTGGTGTTTATATGTAAAATACGACCTAATCGATAATGAAATGTGAGGAAAAGTAACGATCTAGTGATTAAAGTTTAGAAGAAGAAACGTGCGGGAGAACGCCGCGATAATGTATAGTATGACAAATTATGGGGGAAGGGGGGGGGGGGAATGACCGGGTATTCACATACTACACATACGAACAACACGTGTATAAAATCCTAGTGGGGCAGTATCTTTGACTCATTTTCTTCAATGTCCATCTACTTACTAGTGGCACTACCAGTTAGGATAGTTGACTATGCAATTTTTAAAATATTTTTTCAAAAACTATACTGCAGGTTGATCAACCGACACGCAAGTAACTTTTTAATATTGCTTTTAAGTTAAGACAATACAATACTGCCGTGCACTGTTAAAAAGATCTGATGGTTAACATTAAAATACGAACATAAAATATGTCTTCACTGTTCGCGTTAAATGGGCAGCTGGTTAAGACGCAGTTTACAACTATGTATGCCTTTCCATTTAACCTATCCAATTTCAGGACTTAGTAATTGGTCGCCTGTTACGACATGTTTGCGAGAGGCAGTCGAACTATTCACTTTCCCCGCCTGTTTTAAAAACACAACACTTTGTTGCTGAATAATGCATTACAATTATCAGTAAAGAAGCATGAGTTAAACACAAACAATAATAGTGTTAAACATTATCCATTCTTTTCTATTAATGTTCAACTGTAGATTTTGTTTTAAAGGGAAAGATGCGTTCGTTTTACGATGTGTAATAATCATTTTGATATGCAATTAACACCAAACAAATAGTAATTATATTGAAATTATATTTTATAATATGCAGAGAAATGGCCGCAAACTATTATAAAAACGAATTATACCAATCTATAGTGTCAACTAATCATCAAAAGAAATAAAACTATACTGTTACAGAGAAACGGTAGAGCAAATAATTATACTAAACTAGTAAATATAAGTCAATCACGAAGATTTAAGAACAAACTATTTTATATCCCAATAAGTCTCGAAGGAATAAAGGTTAGTTGCGTATCCTTTACAGGACGTTGCAGAACCAACCCCAACAGCTCCTGGCTGTTGTGTGGTTTTTCTAGACAAATTTACGTCCAGTAGTTTGCCATTGCTCCTGGACGGTCGGATTTCTTGATACCACTGTCGAAACCGACGCAAGGCGCATGGCCCGCAGCTAGGATCGAACCCGGCATCCAGGCATTACAGAGCCGACATAAGGAATATGTTATATTAAAATGTTAGCCCATGACATAACAGCGAAAGCTTAAAATATATCCATGTTTGTTCCCCCAGCTACAAAAGTATTTGATCAGGCAAGTATGAATAATGGCGCCTGAAGGTAACTTTTATACGGTCTAATTTTCTTCTTGATCTCCTGCATACTTTATTCGTCAAATTTGTCTAGGCTGTGCGTCTATAAGGCAAGCAAGGCGGTGTTCTCCTGTGACACAAGGTTAGATCAGGTGTTTTTTTTTTTTCATACTGAATTTGTATTTATTCACGCACCCTGTCGGTTTACTTTGTTGCCTTGCCTAATCTCTCCTGTACATGTATCTATCTGTGATACATGTATCTGTGATACTACATTTAACTGTGATACTACATTAATCTGTGATACTCATTTATCTGTGATACTCATTTATCTGTGATACTCATTTATCTGTGATACTCATTTATCTGTGATACTCATTTATCTGTGATACTCATTTATCTGTGATACTCATTTATCTGTGATACTCATTTATCTGTGATACTCATTTATCTGTGATACTCATTTATCTGTGATACTCATTTATCTGTGATACTCATTTATCTGTGATACTCATTTATCTGTGATACTCATTTATCTGTGATACTCATTTATCTGTGATACTCATTCATCTGTGATACTCATTCATCTGTGATACTACGTTTTTCTGTGACATTACTTTGAGTACTAAAAATATTTAACAGGCTTCTATCTATTTCGCGCATGTTTTAAATTACCTTGGCTTGAAAATCCGCCTAAAATAGATATCAGGTAATGTCAGTGGAAGTAAAGGCGCTCGTCGTGATGTTTACATGCCAGTCGTTTCATAAGGTTTGTGTTCCTTAAGGGCCTATGTAATTAAATTCTCATTCCACAATTGGTATGGTTAGGATTTAATCTACACTATAGGTTAGTTGCGTATCCTTTTTAGGACGTTGCAGAACCAACCCCTACAGCCCCTGGCTGTGTGGTTTTTCTAGGCTAATTCAAGTCTAGTAGTTTGCCATTCATCTACACTAGTTGTAATAAAGTTTTTAAATTCAAATAAGTTTCTGCTAAATTTAAAATACAATAATACAGACCGCAATTTTATTTTATAACTAATAGCTGTCTCATCAAGATAGCATTATTTATTAAATAGTGTAACATTAATAATTATACATACATTGTGATTGTATGATACAATGTCTTATGTTTTATAGCAGTAATTATGGTTCATCTCAACTACTTTTAGAGCAGTATTATATTAGATTTCCCTACTGCGTTTTTAAACAGACCAAACACTAAAACTTACAAGATACAACTAAGCCGACCATTGCTCACAAGATAACGTTCTAACCACGTGTAAAAACTCCTACATTTAATTCGCAAAGAAATATATCGAATTTTACCTGCGTAAAAACGTCCACGAAATCAACCTGAGTTTGAATATCGAATGCCTGTAGTTTATCCATCACGAACTTCAATCTATTTCCTTCACAAACAGCATCTAGAGACAAAAGTCCCGAATCCTTCCAGTCTTTGATTTGGGAAAAAACCGCGGGGACTTCATGTTATATACCCGGGCCAGGGGGCGGGGCCAGCGCCATGGGAGACGTCAATTCTCGCGGGCTGCGCGCAGCCTGGAATCTGATTGGCTAGCAGCAATGTAAACAAACTGCGACCTTGTATGAGAGTGTCGCACACGCAGTGCAAGGTCACGTGAATTTTGAATTTACTGCCGATTCCCTTTTCCGTTTTCCCCCCTTTTCCCCTGGGATTTCACTACTGTATAAGATGTGTACGTGGGGGGAGTGTCCCTGGAGGAGAGGGTTCAGCCTGGCGCCCTGAAGGTTGTGGGTTCGTTTCGCAGAGGGCTGTGGCGTTCAGCTCGTGAGTGCGATTTTTACTGATCTATGGGGACCATGGCTGCAGCTGCGGAGTTCGTGTTTTGCGTGACGCTCACGGCAGGCTGCTAGCAGACCCGGCCAAATGAAAGCAAGCTCCTAGTGCAATGAGGTTGCTTCTCTTGACCTCAAAAAGTGTTTAATAGCTTTAAAAATAAGTCTTTATTAATCTTTTATAAAAACGAGCCATAATTTAAACGATACTCCTTTGTTGATTAAACCTCACAGGATCCGGTAGAACAGGTGGAATAACTATAATAAATTTACTGACTGCGCGTTCTTTGTGACACGTAACTTTGTTACTGACAGGCTAAGGACAAAACTAATTTTAGTGGCTGGCTGAGTGGGTAGCCTGTTTTCTTTATACCACTGGGGAGATGTAGTTGTGTAGTGGCAGGTGCTCGCCTGTCGGCCCGAAGGACTTCGGTTCAAATCCGCATTTGTTTCTTCAAAAAATGGCTCGGGCACGACCGGCTCCATGCTGACAGCTGGAGCCGGTCGTGTCTCTGGCATCCCATTTCATCCACACCTTTAGAATGAATACCAGAGACTGTCTTATTTCTTCTTCTTCTTCGCGTTCACCAGCTGTACACTCTGGCGGAAAGTTCTGGTTGCTCGTCCACTACTGAACTGCAGTCCTGCTCCAGAACCTGAGTGTTGCGTGTGCATCAGTTTTACAGATCTCATTCTCTTGAATACAGAATGTTGGTTCCTTGCCTCTCCGGCAGATGTACTCCGACTTCAAAGGAAGCTCCCCAATTAGTCGATTCTTACGACATGCTTTTGGGGAGGCAGTGGGTCTATTCTTGTTTTCCCCACAATGGGACCCCGGAACCCACACAGGGGACTGTCTTATTTGATGCCGTCATTCACATTTCTCCTTCAGCCCTGCTTTAATTCATCTGCTGCAATTCCTTTAATATCGTCCATCACTACTATACACTCGGTTACTCCTATTGTGAATTGCAGTGGTTCTAAAGACGTGCCCGCTCACTTTAGGGAGCCCAACTAACACATTTAAGGGTCCACGCCTAATGTGGTCGCTTAACAGAAAAGAACCGCGTAAAGTTCAAGGTGAAAATGGCCACACGTGAAAAACTGCACACCTCGCAACCTGGGAAATAACAATCTCTTCCCGCCAAAAATAATGCCTGCTGACGTAATGACGTCATGAATGGCTGGGTTCATTGTACTAGAGGGGACGGAGCTTTCTTTTATGTTTTGCCTATTGATTTATTACATAAAGAGGCGGAGGGAGCCCTTCAGTCTGTACCCGACACATCCGATACACAGACACCTGCATTCATTATCAGAGGAAGTATTTGAATGCAGTAGGCAGACAAAACATTGGGGGCATCTGTTTAATTTAAGGCTAAGTTTCCTTGAAACTGTCCTTAATGGCAGCATTTATCGTGGGTTTAATGAATCAGGCGTCGATTTCACAATGCCGGTAGTATGTAATGGGTATCCAAAATGTTGTCTATGAACTAGTTGTAAATTCTCAGACTATTGTTATCTCTGTGTGGGTTCCGCGGCCGCATTTAGGGATGGGGGGGGGGGGGGGGGAGGGGTCCTTATATTTCCTAACAACGTGTCATAGAAGACAACTAATTGAAGACTTGCTTGAATCGGATGTGCTATGCCGAAAGAAAAGTGTTATCACAACCTACTGGAAACAGCCACACAACCGGCTAACCGCCTTTTCAAAGGGTAAACAAAGAAGACTGCTGGAGTGTAAACAGACAACGCATTTATTGTTTGTCGTTTGGTTTACAAAACGTTGTTTTTATCTGGTTTCCTTATAATCATCGCTAGAGCTAAGAAGTTCGTGGTTTGTGCGACGCTCTCGACTAGACATTTTAACAAAAAAAGACAGCGCTTCATGTGATAGTGCAGTGCTGAATAGTCTCAGGGGTCTCAGCATTCTCCATTTAGCCTTGTTTAAGTAAACAATAATTATTATTGTTATTTCTAAATAATATAATAAATGTATTAGACAACATTAATACACTATAAATGGGTAGGGGGTCACTTAAACATTATCTGATGCGGGAGGGAGCGTTAGTCATCCTGTTCAAGCGCCGCTGAGTTACAACGTTACTGAAGTTACAATGTTATTGAAATTAGGAAAGAAGTAAAACAAGCAAATGTCCTGGGACAGTCGTGAAAATAAAACGAAGAATTATAGCGAAGCAAGGACTTTACTTCGGTAAGTGAAGTCTGAAGCGATAAACAATTCTCTCTTAGGGATGAACCAGAGGGCAATAACTAAATTAACCACAGATGTTGCATTTTTTCTCGTGAGAATTTCTCAGACAACGTCGCGAGCTGTGTTTCGTGCACTGCATCCTGTGCACGGCCGAAGTACCCGAGCGCGTAAAACAACAGCTTTTAAATGATTTTGTTTTCCCAGAATGCGCCTGTTGGAATTTGCGCCTGCTTAAAACATAATCGGCGGACCGTTAAATGCGCAAAATCGAGGTCGTTCTGCGGAACGCAGGGGGGAATATGAGAAGCACGACATGGGCAGTTTCAAAAGATTTATTAAACGTTATTAGAAAAATGCTCACTTCGTGGTTTTAAAATTACAGAAGTAATGTTCGTTTATAGGCTGTTCATAAACTTGCACCTTCTTCTTTCTTCTTCTTCTTCTTCTTCTTCTTCTTCTTCTTCTTCTTCTTCTCTTCTTCTTCTTCTATCATTTCCTCTTTTACCACCTCGGGTGTCGAGGGACAGTGTTTTAAGGTTCTTATTTTTTTTGGGGGGGGGGGAGGGGGGGAGTATCCAGAAGCCATGAGTTGTTAACCCTTGGGCTCTGTATATGGATATCGCAACCCTTCGACCTTGATTCCATGATAGATACCGTAAATCTGGGAGAAATATAGCTTTTCTGCCTATCCCCGGGCGTGAACCCGGACCACAAGGATTTCGTCACCCGGTCGCCGCGAAGTCAGGTTCTTATAAACGGAGCTCCCGTGAAGTGTCAACAAGCCTCTGCTTCTATCATGGCTACAGAGAATACACTGAGATAACAAATAAAAGCGCGAAAGAAAAATTAAAACACCGAATCATACCTGTTACTTTTTTGGGAGCGGGGTCTCCGTGGCGAGGTGGCCAAGCAGTTTGCCTCGTGCTCTAAAGGTCGTGAGTTCTCTTCACGTTCGCGTCGTTCAAGTCGACAAGCGTAGTTTTTACGGAGATCCGCGAGAATGGTTGCTCGAGCGACGGTGTTCATGCTTCGTAGAAGGAGACAGTCATCATTTTTCGGCCCTGTTATGAGAAGAGGGAAAATATAACATGCTGTGACCACTGGAAAGATCTATGGAAGGAGGGATAGAGGAAGACAACGAGAGAAGATGCTTGACAGTCTTGTTGCATGGATGGAGGTGTGTCGGCACACGAACTGTTACATGCTGCAGGAGATCGTGGATTATGGAGAGGCATGATCGCCCACGCCATTCGGCAAGGCATCTGATGATGATGATGATAGAATAACTAATTTTAGAGCTTTGGGAGAGAACTAAACAGGCTCCAGTGGACCAAAAGGTGAGGAAAAGACGCTGGCGTTGGATAGGACACACACTGAGAAAACAGGAGAACAGATTAACTATAATGTCTTTGCATTGGAACCCACAAGGGCATAGGAATAAAGGTAGCCCCCCCCCCCACTCCCTCCCCCCCCCAAAAAAAAAAAATTTAAAAAAAAACGTGGAGAAGAGAGCTGGGGAATGAAGTTAGAAAGATGGGGAGGACATGGGCAGAGCTTCGTGTAATGGCCAAGGATTGAACGAGTTGGTTGAGGGCCTATGCTCTATTGGGGGGATAGAAAGGCAGAAGAAGAAGGAAGGGGGGGGGGGAGAGCAATTGGTCTATTTATTTTTTCTTCTTAAAATTGGGCGCTGGGGTCCGCACGGGCAATATCACAATGAAACTTGGCTAGAAACTTGGTTCTAGCAACATTTAAATAGCTAGTTGTGACTTAGAGAAGGGAGGTGTGGTGAATATTGTTGTGTCTGAGTAGAGAGAGAGAGAGAGAGAGAGAGAGAGAGAGAGAGAGAGAGAAAGAGTGGGGGTTATTTGTAAATAAGGAACGTGTTGACCTGTCAATGTATAACTTAAACACAAAGATACAATATCGGTCGAGGAGTGGTGGTAATGGCTGGGGCGTTAAGTGTGTAGCCACTACAAGGCAATGACACTTAAATGGATTACCAGGAAATAAAACCAGGGGGATTGACCCTTCAAACAGCTTAGTGAAAAGTAGTGGACAGTGGACCCAGTTACGTCACAATATTGACACATGGCGTGGGAAGAGAAACAACAACCATAACCTAGACACAACAATATTAGCTCTAAATGCCACGGATTTCATATGACAGTTTTTAAGACATAGTTACTAACTTTCATCCTTAGTAAGCAGGGGCGCCGACAAAAGAAAAATGCATGCACTACAATAGACGTAAACGTTGTTGGAATATATAGCTAGTTTAAAAAAAAAATAATCTGAGGTAATTAGCCTCAGGTCGTTCCGGCTGTTTGTTCAACACGAGGTGAATTCTTCTGACGTGGTCACTGAAGAAGAAATAAATCGGGTATTTTTAAATGAAATGTAAACCACCACCACCCCCCCCTCTCGCACACACACACCAAAACAAAATTAATTACAATACTGCGGATCAAGAAGGGCACGGGAATAGGTTAGAGAAACAGCGAATTTCTGTTAAACGCAAAACGGCAACCTGCTGTCTGGTTGATGATGATGAAGATGATTATGATGATGATGATGAAGAAGAAGATGATGATGAAGATGATGATGATGATTATGATGATGATGATGAAGATGATTATGATGATGATGAAGATGATGATGATGATGATGATGATGATGATGAAGATGATTATGATGATGATGATGAAGACCAGGAAATGTTATGAGCCCCGGTATAGCACGGGTAGTGAATACAGTTATCACCATCAAGTGCCTTGCCCACTGGCGTAGGCGATCATCTCCACAATCTGCCATCTGCGTGTATCATGAGTCCGTGTGTTGACAACACTCCATGTCATGACAAAAGACTTGTCAAGAATCTTCTCACGCTGTCTTTCTCTGTCTCCCTTTCCTTAGATCTTTCTAGTGGTCACAACATGTTCCATTTTCCCTCTTCTCATAACATGACCATAAAATGATGATTGTCTCTTTCTGTTGTTTGTGACAATCTGTCTTCGAGCATCGCCCCTTTCAGAACACATAGGTAGTTAACACAGTAGGTAATTTAAACATCGGAAACTATAAGCTCATCGTTTAGCGTCTTGACAACTCTGACAAATGGAGGTTTGAGGTTTGAACAACGGATCAACATCATGGCACACGGGTAGTAAGTGCGCCGTTCTCCTTCTAAGTCAAGTCCGAAGAAGCTCAGCACAGCGTAGCACCGGCGAGGATCCTGAAATACTTTGGATAGATTTTTGACTCCAAATTTTGCCGGGCAGCGTCGTGAGGCTTTTCTTTTTTT